AACTGGTTTCAGAGGCTTGGACAAGTGACTTTCTCTCATCGAACCTCAAATCTCTCCATCTGTAACATATACCAGTTTTTAATTGAATGTCCTTCCTCCTGCAAGAAACCATGCTGCCATCCCAAAGGCATATGGTTTGATTCCACCAGTTTCTCCACAGGAAAAGGATGAGCAGTCTCCTCCTGTGTGATTAACTGCCTCTGAAAACCCACTGGAGGGTCAGCTGTGGTGATGAGGTATTAAAGAAGAGTAGCGAATAACCCCTGGGCTGCCCAAACAGTATGCCTTTGAGATAGTGCAACCAGAGTGTTCCTTGAAGGCAAGGATAACAAAGTTTGTCTCACGTACTTTGGGAATGTTGCTAGGACAAGCTATTCCTTGGAAAAAGATATCATGCTGGGAAACATGGAGGAGGGTCAGAGAAATAGGGAAAGAACCCTCAAACAGGTTGGTTTACACATTGACTGCAGCAATAGGCTCAAGTGTGTTAGAGATGATGAGGATGGCACAGGATAGGACAGGGCTCAGGTCTTTTGTTCAAAGGGTCACTGTGAGTCATACTCAACTTTCTGGCACCTAACAACAGAGAAATATCCATAAGTTAAATGTTCTTTTTCTGAGTCTCAGAAAGACAGGTGTTGCTTATGTGTCTTCATACTGTAAGCAGAACTCTGCGAGGAAGCTCTTAAATGGTACTAAGTCTTGCATAACCCAGTGTTGCTAGGAGTTTTCTGCTCTTTATAAAGTGTCCTCTAGCAAACAAGGGTGAAGCAAATATTCCATCAAAAAATAGTCCAATGTTAAGCTAGTGAAGGTAACTGTGACTAGTGATGCTTGTTCAAAACTTACTGGCAAGTCCGGCTAAGTGATTTCTGAGAATATCTTCACATCGATACACCTGCACATCAAGTTTCACTGATCAAAATATTATTATGCCTCTGATCATATGTAATGTGTGAAGACATACTGTCAGGTGATTTTTATGGTAATCTCCACATACATGTCCTATCTTTTAGAAACATATTTGCATTGCCATGACTGTCCCCTGACTGTGCTTGCTGCCATGGCCATTGCCAGGGAACTGTTGTCACAAAACTACATAAAGTTGTGACTTGGATGAGAAGAAGTGATGGTTATTGGTCTGTTGCAAGGCAATGATAATAGCATTTAAATCTCCCCCAGATAAAAGCTACTGCCATAAATTCAAGTCCATCTTCTAATGACCCTCCATTGAGTTTCCACGGTTGTTAAGTCTTTGCAGAAGGAAATGGAGTCAAACCGCTCTGTTTAAGATGCGGCTGATATCACAATGCTTTCAGACATCATGACATTGTTAATGCCGAGTAACATGAAGATAACAAACTATTATGAACAGCATCTCAAAGATGGATTCGGTTTAAAAATGATGGTCATTTGTTAAATACAAATGTTTTGCTGAAAACCTCAACCGAGATCATTGGCCAGGATAGGGCAAAGCTCAGATCTCTTGTTCATAGGGTTGCTATGAGTCATACTCAACTTGATGGCACCTAACAACAACAACAACAACAACAACAACAGAACCATGGCAAACTGTAATATCAGGAAACTGGCATAAAGTGGAGTTAAGAAATGATACTTTGCAGAAAACTTTGCAACATAAATTGTACCAAGTAAATCAAACAATCGGGTGAAATAAACAAACCTAAAATAACCTGCATAAAAACATGACACAAGACTCTTCTATGTGGCCAGAAATTACGGCCTGGGCTGCACTGTCTACGAATGACAAGACAGCTATCCGAAATCGCTGTAGCCTTCATCACCGGACACTCAACATTCATGGAATAATGGGCACTTCAGCACAATACAAAGTCATCCAGCCTGCTCTTCATAATTCCATGAGATCCTCTCATTATGAAGTGCATATAGGACATTTGTTGTTTTCTTTTATACAGAGCATTGCATCTATTCTGTCTATTATGAAAGTAAAAACCCGCCATCTGGTAGAGTATCCAGTGCTAATGGAACCTTACCAAATAAACAAAAGCAGCGACCCCCCAAATCATCAAATGATTGCTTCAGTTATTTAACCATGCATGAAAGAAGCAACATAGTCCTCAAATGAATTTCAAAAATGTTTCAGCGGTAAAGATTCAACAGGAGTAGTGGCACAGCCTGAACTGAGATATGCCATGTACATAGTATAGATATGATACCAGTACAATTCCCATACATACCCTGATCCTAGTAGAGCTTTCATGAGTATATCACGCATGAGGAATAAATGAGAGACCTATTGTACAAAGTTTTTGTAGAGACACAGAACTCTGATAAATGTATTATCCACACAACACATTAATTATTTAAAGAGCTTTGTATAGCTGAAAATAGTGAAGTTTTCATAAAAATTTGTGGCTGTAAGGATTACATAAATCATCTCTATTCTGTGTGACTCGCCATCAGGATACTAAAACAAAGGGAAAATTATTGTAAAAACACAGAATGTATTAAGTAGACAGCTTATTTGAATAATTAAGTGTCTTATTAATATTCATTGGCCATTCTCTATTTAGTGTCTGTATTACATATTCTCCAGCTTTAAAGTGATTATGTACAATTTGATGAGTGGAGGGTGAGGGAAATTGGAAGAATCTGTTCTCAAAATCAATGTATTCAAATTTTGTAAATAAACTAGTATAAAAAAAATAAAGTGATCAGGCAGTATGCATGTTCTTTTGGGGAATGGGGTGTCAATGTATCTTTTATTGGTTTTCATATTCCTTTACATTATGTTTCATAATGTTATTCCTTTATACTATTTTATATTTATACTCCATTATATTATTCCTTTACATTATGTTTCATTAATAGTATGCATTTTCTTTTTTATCTTTTTTCTTTTTTAATTTTTTTTCTTTTATACTGGTTTACCTACACAGTTCATATACATTTTCTTAATGATCAAGTTCCATATTATTTTTCTTGAAGATATTTGTATTGTGGCACTCATTTGCCTTTAAATGAGAAAATTACTTGAAATAGATCAATGACTAAGAAGATCAAACATCCCTTTCCATATTCTAAGGTACCTGGAACAAGTTTACAAAGCCTGTAAGGAACTCTTTATTAAAGAGTAAACCACAAAAGCCATGATATTTAGCTGGAAGAACTATCACACCCATGGCAATTTGATTTGGTCTATCTTTTAGAATATGCCTTTGTGTTTTTAAATAGATCCTTTCTGAAGAGCTGTGGTGGCACACTTTGTAGGAGCTCCTATGGCATAGTCCACAAGGAGCTGCCCTGCTAACCGAAAGGAAGCACTTCTCTGGCAGTTCGAATCCACCAGAAGCTCTGTGGGGAAAAGATGAGCAATCTCTTCCAGTGCTATTTACAGCCTCTGAAAGCCCACTGGAGGGTCAGCTATGAGTCAGTTCTGACTTGAGAGCAAAGAGTTTGTTTTGGCGGGTTGGTTTTTTGTTTTGTTTAGAGACCCCTCCCCCCCCAAAAAAGCAAGCATCTTACTACTAAGAAGTCAAGTTTTTGGTTCATTTACTTTTGTACTGATGCGTGGTTTTTCATTTGTGTTAGACTTTTTAAGTCTCCATCATAAGCACAGAAGTGGGTAGGTAAAGAAGAGATTACCCAGCTGTTAGAGGTAATGTAATTTGAGTTTTGTGAGATGAAGGACTGATAGAGTCGTGGGCTTGGGATTCTACCTCTGATCTTCTAAAACAACACATGTCAAGTGCCTAGCACAGTGCCTGACACTCTGCACGGACAGCACCTCCTGTGCTTTCCCAACTAGCTCAGTGTTCTTCCTTTTGCAAGGCACTGCCCAGTCTAGCAGCAGTACATCTAAATCACTTGAATGAATATGTCTTTATTAGGTGATGCAGACATGAATAAAAAGGCTAATGAGGTAAAATTGATGGTGATGAGGGTAAAACAGGATCAAGAAATTGAAAAGGTTCTTGTTAAGCTTAATTCATTTAAACCTATTTGGGAGGGAGGGAAACCCCTCTAAATGCATTACAGAAAATCTTATTAATTAAACCTGGACTCAATTACCATTTTTTATCTCTAGACATACATTTATTTATACCTATTTATCTTTACTTTAAGGATATTTATGAATAAAACATGAAAACCAGGGCATTCGCTTGTTCTGCAATCATACATGTTCTGTTCTACTTAATACTACATCTGCCTTCATTGTTTATGCTGCAGTACATAATATTCAGGTTTGATGACCTTGGCAATATGAACTTCCCTTAAATGTATTCCCATTTCTTAAGTTTGGTCAATCTACTATTCATGAAGAATAGTAGATGCTGAGCCCACATTTGTAGCGATCTGTTAAAGATTCAAAATATGCTTTAACCAAGAAACTTTGAAATGTCCGAAGTCTCCGCCTATTTAGTGAGAGTCCTCATTTGATACTCTCTCAGTCCGGGTCCATTTTCTGAAAACTGCCTGATAGCTTCCAAATACATTTTGATTCAAAAAAAGAGAGCTTCTCCACAATATGTGGGGATTATGATCACTTTGAAGGCTAAAATGGATACAATAAATAAATTTCATAATAATAAATCCTCACTCATACCAAAATTCTCAAGCTCTTATTTTTTAAATGTCTCCAAATGATCCATTAAGGTGACCCCGTGGTGTAGTGAACTAGGCAAGGCTGCTAACTGAAAAGTCAGCAGTTCGAATCCACAGCTGGGCAGCTGGAGAAACATGGGCAGTCTCTTTCCGTAAAGATTTACAGCTTAGAAACCTGCTGGTGGGTCTCTGGGGGGGGGGGACTCAACTCAAAGGCAGTGAGAGTGATCTGGTAAATAGGCTTCTGACTGAATTTTACACAAAAGCTGTATCTGGTCTTTAAAAACAAGCAACCAACCAATACCAGTTGCATGGTATTTGGAATGTTATTCATTCTAAAGCACATTATGCTTCCAAAAAGATAGAAATCAACGTATTTAAATAAACATTCTGTGCATTCAGATGGAACTCACCTTCAGAGACTCAAAACGGGCTACCACACGACCATTTTCCAGATGGCAAACTCTTGGTGGGTGGGAAAACTTGCAATCAGCATCAGTCCAAGAGCAAGTTCCTCTCTCAAATTCTCTACAGACTTCTAAAGTCAGCCACTTGGTATCACAAATCAGGGAAACATTGATTGCCGTCATATTAAAAGTATATTTAAAGTTAAGTGCACCCTCTTTGGGACAATTATCACTGCTGATTGTGTAAAGGTGGAAAAAATGTATTTAGGCTAAATGGGAAGCGAGAACAGGTTGCTTTGGTAAACCGTCTGTTTCGTTAGCCCTTAGATTCATTTAAGTCAAATCCAATCTAGTCAAATGACAAGCCAGTCATAAAAGAAAAATTGTATTCGAATAATTAAAAATCCAATTAGAGACCAACTTCTAAAAAGGTAAAGGTTAAGATACTGAATGTTACAGTTTGTTCCTCTGTCGAAGTCACTTCAAATAATTGGCAGGCTTTCAAAAGAATTCTGAGCTCTCTAGTTTCTGTTTTCAATTATTTCTTGCATATGCTGCTGGCTGCCCTTTAATTTATAGAATGGTCTCAGATTATGGGGAGACAAGTGTTCTCCCTATTTCTTGGCTATAAAGATCAATATCAGAAAGGACAGATCAACTACTTGGGGGGGGGACCAACCCACAACAACACAAAAACCAAACCAACAATAATGTTGTGCTGCAAAATCAGGCAGAGGGAAAATGATTAAGAAAATTGAGACTCAAGAGGGAGGGGGTGGGAAAGCCTGGACAAGCTCCTGATAGCGAACTTCCAAGCACATCAGGTTGGTTGGTTTGTTTGTTGGTGGGAAGGGAAAAGAGGGGGTTAGAGAGGCAGCTCTAGGGCAGAATCCAAGCAGCAGTTTTCAGAAAAGGCACTTTTCAGAAACCTGCAAGGGAAAAAAAAATTGTGAAATTAGCTAAAATAACAGAATGCTTCTGGTTCAAGGTCTAAATTTGGAAAAGAAGCCACCAGGGCCTATTTAAAACAGGAAGCCTCTAGATACTGACAGCGCAGCATAAGTGTAAGCAGCTATTGTCAATAAAAAGGGCATTTCCCAGCGTAGAACTGTGTACATAGTAGAAAGGAAGTCATCACTTAGATTTATTGTTGTAGCACAAGACTGGGCTACAAGCCAATTAAAAATGGGGGGGAGAGATAGCTGTATTTGGGGCAGAAATTTTTATGAGGTCTACTGCACCAAAAAAAAAAAAAAGTCAGTGTTGCCTAATGTGGCAACTCGTCATGCATTTATGTTGCACTTGGGTGTCTCTAGAGCCTTGGTGGCATCGTGTATTAAGTACTGGGCTGTGGAGGTAGTCTGCACCATTCAAGATTATGGCGTTGGGTCACCAAGAGTCAAAACCAACTCAACGGCAGGGAAGTTTGGTGTTTGCTTGGTGTGTGTCTCCAGTTTTTAAAGGTTACCAGAGACTTGTCTTTGAACTGGCTTTTTACTAAGAGCTTTAGAAGAAAGGCCTGGTAAATAGCTTCCCACAGGTCAGAGCCCTGAAGACTCTATGGAGTAGTTCAGTGCTGTACACGTGGAGTCACCAGCAGTCAGAAGCAACTTGATGGCAATGGATTTTGTGTGTTTTTGCTAGTGTCTTCTTGAAGACTTGCTAATCTATTCTTAAAATCCAGAAAAGAGGGTTTCAGTTGCTCTCTGAGGTCACTCTGCATAAGTGCTTGCGTGTGAAACAGTCCTAACACAAGTAGCTGGAGACGCATATGAGGTCAGGTGAAGGAAGGGAATGTAAAATGTGCTTCAGACAAAGAGAAAACATCATTGAAAAAGAAACTAGACATTTCTTCTGTGTATGCCCTTTCAGTGTCTACAAAGGAAATTTGAACAACTCAGAAGCGGGTTTCCATGTAGTTGGGTATGTGAAACAGAAAGCGTTATTCAGTAACACTTTTAACTATCATTTACCCTTAAAGTTTGCAAGTTAACCTTGAGCCAGCCCATCAGCAACAATTTTAAGCAAATAAGCAGAGAAATGAGATACAAAAGGTTGACTGGCAGGATACCACGAACAAGTACTGATATCATTTAAGGCAAAAACTTCGCTTAGCCCTGAATACCAGACACATGAGCAAATGATGAACTTTACCATGAAAGCAGAACAAAGGTTGCTGAAAACATTTCATTTTTTTTTCAGTTCAGTAAAATGTATTGAAGGTTGAAAATTCCTCATTCACCTGTTTCATGTACAAAAAGGACACTAGCTCTTTTAAGAAAATATTAGGAAGACTTTTGAGACCAGAATTTCAGTAATTTTACAGAATCAGAATTTTGCATGTCCTTTATACTTTTAAGAAGAAACGCAGTATCACTTGACTTTTTTTCATCTACCACGAGGAAATGAAGTCTCTAGAAAATTCAAGCTAGCTTATCTTTCCACTCAAGAGCAAAATTTAGATAAATTTTTTTGCAAAATATATTTTTTCATCTAGCCATTATTCATGGAAATCTTTCAAAAATATATCTTTGCCTTCTTTTCTCCCCAAAACTAGTCTTCATCCAATCATTCATATATGCTTTGTCTGCCTTTGCCTTCTTAAAAAAATATTTAAAAACTACAACTGAACATAATGTGGTCTCTGGTTGAAGACCTGGGGCCATTTGTGTTTGTCTTCTCCAGTGACTGTTCATTTTCACTTGTATTGATAACGATCTGTAATATCTGCAATTGTGAATAAGGGAAAGCTTGTGGCCTAGTCCATAGAGAGTTGTACCACTGGCCCAGAGACAGTACCTTTCTAGTGGTTCTAATCTACCAGCCACTCCTTGGGGAAAGATGGGCAATCTCCTCCTGTAAAATTTACTGCCTTTGAAAACCTGCTGGAGGGTCAACTGTGAGTTGGTTGCGACTTGACGGCAGCCAAGTTTGGGTTTGTTATTATTTTTTTTCTCTGTGAGCTACAGTGAACTGTCCAGCTCCCTTCTGAAAACTCCTAGAGCCAATCATTAAAAAAAAAAAAAAAAAAAAAAAAAAAAAAAAAAAAAAAAGAATGTAAGAGTTAGCAACCTGTTGAACGTGAGCCCTAAAGGCAAAATGTATCGCTTTCCTTAGGAGTTCAATGAAGGGTCTTCCAGCTCTGGAATGCTCTTGCATTTCATTCAAGGTGGGACTGTATCTAGGGGTTAAGGCTGCCAGATAAAAGACATCCCCAGGACATTTCTTTACAAGTATATATTTATTAAAAGAAGGCATTGAAATGAATAAAAAAAAAGCATTAAAAACATAAGAAGGTATTGACAAGGCAAATGAAAGCCAAAATAAAATGTTACTACTTCCTACCCACTGGGACGGCTAGCATCTAACTCTAAAAGAGAGAATAGCAGGTGGTAGCATAGAGAAATTAGAAAGAACTCTCAAAATTGGTGGTGAAAGCCCACAATGGCACAAACATTTTAGAAAATGGTTTGGCATTTTCTCTAAAGTTTAAACACAGAGTTATCAATTAGCCTAGTAGTAGTTTCACTCCTAACTATATACCCAGAGAAATGCAAATATACAGGGGAGCTCTGGTGGCTTAGTGGCAAGACGCTGCACTGCAATCCCGAAGGTTCGCAGTTCGTAATGCCCCAGACGTTCCGCTGGAGAAGTAGGAGCAAACTCCTCCTGTTCCAGTCGGATCCAATTCGATGGTACAACAAATGATAAATATTTTTTTAAAAAAAGGAAAAGAAAATGTATGTCTGCAAAAACCTATACACTATTCAGCTCAACATTTTTCATAAGCCAAAATGTGGAAACAACTCAAATGCTCACTAACTAAGCAAATGGGGAGCTCTGATGGTCTAGTGGGTAAGGAGCTGTGCTGCCAACACATAGGTACATCCACTAGCTACTCCATAGAAGAAAGGTTGGGAAATGTCTTCCTGTGCGATTTACAGCTTTTGAAAATTCACTAGAGGGTCAGCTATGAGTAGGTTCTGACTTGAGAGCACCTTACAACAACAACAACAACAGCAACAGCAACAACAATAAGCATGTAAGAGAATATTCAGCTACACAGATGCACTTGATATATGCCACCACGTGAGTGAAACTAGGCAACTTTATGTTATATAAAAGTGAGGAATCCTGCCAGTGCAGTGGTTGGTTAGCACTTGACTTCTAAATGAAAGGTCAGTGGTTCGAACCCACTAGCTGCTCTCTGGAAGAATGATGTGGCACTCTGCTTCTGCAGAAATGTACAGCCTTGGAAACCTTATGGGACAGTTCTCCACAGGGTGAGTAGGTATCCGACTCGCTTAGAGGGTCATGGGTGTCATTTTTCTGTTGTTTTTCTGGTTTTAAGTGAAAGAAGCCTGACACAAAAAGGTACATATTATACAATACTATTTATAGGAACTATTTAGGATCGAAAAATCCATAGATAGAAAGTAGATTGGTGATTGTCAGGAACTGGAGGACCTGTTAAAGAGTATAGGTTTTCTTACTGGGGTGATTAAAATGCTTGAAAATAGATTGTAGTAACGGCTGCCCAATTTTGGGACTATTTTAAAACCATTAAATTGTGTACTTGAAGGGGGTAGACTATATGGTATGGTAATCACATCTAAAGAAATCTGTTTATTAAAAAAATAGAGTCAATAACAAGACATGAGACCTGAAACAGAACAAAGAAGCCTTAAGATTCTCCTGAGATAGAAACTCCACTGAGTGGTTGTTGGTGTGTGCCATCAGGTCAGAATTGACCCATAGCTGACCCTCCAGCAGGTTTTCAGAGGCAGAAAATCACAAGGGAGGGCACTGCCCACCCATCCTTCTCTCATGGAGAAGATGGTGGACTCAAACCACGTGTCTTTGGGATTGCAGTGCAGCTTCTTGCCACTAGACCACCAGCGCTTTCTAAATAGGCTTAGTAAGTTGAATTCCTAGAATAGATTGATTTCACTACTGTGTCTGACTTAGCGTATCATGGAAAAAACAGTCTAAAACAGTAGTAAAGGACAATGGTTCCTCTTATGTTCCAGGAGATTGTGCTGTGGTGGTGGTGGTGTTCTGTGCCGTTGAGACACCTGCGACTCACAGCAGCCCTCTGTACAACAGCTCTAAACCCTGCTCTGTCTTGTGCCAATCTTAGAGTCTCTGATACACCTACTCCCCTTAACCCAGACTGTGAGTTT